CCATCTGCAAAGACCCCGTGAATTTGTCGATGGGCACATCCCATACGTGTCGTCCCCAGCCATATCGATCCATAGATATCATTCCTACGACCACGAACGCTGCTGCGGGAATGTAGGCGAGGATGACGAGCATGTCGTCCCAGCCGAATCCGTTCGTGATACATTTTCGCGTGTATGTCCGGATGGCAATGATGACTGTAGCGATGGCCAGGAGGACGAGGGAGACAATCTGGTTGGCCGGGCCTCTGGTTTCGGGGTCATCGTAACGCGGTGGCGGCCAACTGAGTATTACTTCTGGCGGCGGGATCCTCATATCGTCGATGTCGTGAACATCGTGTGGGCAGAAGACAGGGGATCAACGGTGCCGAAAACGTAGCAAAGATGTGGAGAGGAGAGCGTCCTTATTCTTCCCCTCACGGCGGCAACTGTGGCCCGAAGACACGCGGGGACGAATGAGAGACGGGACGAGAAGGCTGGGCAAATTCAATGGGAAGGGCAAAAAACAGTCTTCAGCGTTGGTGACCGTGCCTAAGCTTAATCAACAGACGGACGCAGTGAGAAAGCATATCCACGGCTGTGACATCAACATGATGATGCGCGCTCTGGCCAATATATCTTTCCAACCCTGGACCGTTAGACCGCCCAACCCTGAGAATCGCTGCAGGGAATCGCAGAAAAACGTTGCCGTTTGGCGAGACATTCTCAAGACCGCACTGACGGCTTGAACTGGGGTTCTCATGAGGAACCGGTGGTGTTGTATCGTGTTGTCTCTCTCAGACCATTGGATATCCTTAGGGGCGGTGCTGGAAAGGGAGCAACGGATGCAACTCCGTGGATCCAGCGGCACCTTGGCCGGTTGCAAGTCTGTGTGAGGAAAGCTGGGTAGACAAAGCAGACTTTGGCGCCTTGCTTCTTTGCGTAAGTCATAGTCTGTCACAGCGTCGCATGTCTTCTCAGCGCCGCTCATGGGGAGGGCAAGAACAGTGAGCCCCCAGCCCTACCGTTGATCTTGCGGCTAGGTCCGCTTGGCCTTAGAGGAGGCTCAACGCCCGACTAGCGTGTTGCGAGTCTGGAGGCCGAGCTGGGGTTGAACAACCGGGATGGAAATGCCGCTGACACGGCGGGAGCTGGACGCAGCTACCGGTAGACAGCTGCCAGAGCAGCTAGGCCTGCATGTGTACGGTGTCAAAACTTGATCCATGATGGCCAACATCATGCGTAATAGCCACAATCATGATAAGGAAGGCCGGGAAGAAGGACGTTGGCATTGTGGTATTGCGGTTGACCAACGACGTCTACCGCCGGGTGAGAACAGGTTGCTCCCATCACAAACCGCCTGCAAGGCCCCTCATCCAGACCCTGTCGCAGTGGTGGTGGCACTGCAGATTGTGATGGTGGTCGTCGAAGCCAGGGGCGGTGTGGTGTGTTGGTTGTACCTAGACTTCAACGTGGAGGAGACATGTCTTTGCTGGTCGAGGATCAAGAAACGTTTGTGCCTGGGGAGTAAGATTGGCCAGTCGTTTTCGAAGCCGTGCCGTCTTCAGGATTCTCCACCTTCATTGGCGCTCTTCCCAGAGAGTTGTTTGAAGCTTGGCAGGACGCACGGGTTTTGGGTTCGTCGACGCGCATTGACGGCCGAGCGAGGGGATTGTCAAACCGAACGCGTCTGAGGATGCTGTGAACACGATAGGCCCATTCAATTTTTCGACCGTTTGGCTTCGACACCCTGGATAGCCGGCCAGCAAGTCCATAAAGGAACCATTGCAGCCGTTGGTTTGTCGAAAAGTGCCCCGCGAAACGGCAGCCTCCGGGGCTGAGCCTGTCAGGTCAGGGTCCCTATCACATCGGATCTCGACTCTTCCATGAAGAAGTGGTGTTTGAATGTTACCTTATCTGACGAACGACAGAAACCAGGGTAGCCATGGTTGCAATGCTAAAGAAGTGCGCATACGGCCCTGCATGGCAGCGGGTAGTACAGGATGGCACATGGTGACGTGAAGTAGCGTTGTTGACGGAGGATTTGACTAGTCGTTCCAAGAATGTTGTCGAAGAGATGCGGTTGGCTTCACAGCGGGTGCCCATCCCCACTTCGCCCACTGCTTCTACCCCTTAGTCATCAACGGGACGACGCTTCCCGTCAGCCCCTGGAGTGCTTTGATGTTAGTGTTTCTTTCCTCTCAGGGAGCTCATTTCACGAGAAGGCGTTCGTCTGTCCAGGGAGCCACGGGAGTGAGTCAAGAAGGCGCAATCGCGCTGTGTGACCCTGGAACTAGGTAGTCGACACCCACTCTTCCGCGGCCAAGTCACTAGCATGGGGTAGAGCAGGCCTCATCGATCTCGACCTAGTGGTTTGCCATCATGCCCAATTCTTTAGTGACCGCCTTGGCTAAGAGACTGTTTCTCGACTGTTTCCGAGTCCACCTCGACGAGAAGCCGTTTCAGTCGACATCCCGCGAACTGGGGTTCTCCACCATTCGCGAATGAGCTCTGTTGCTCGCAGCTTGAACCCAATGTATCTGTCATTTTTGTCGACGACACTACGGAATAATCAACGTCTTCCGGGCGCCCACCTCCAACCTCCCTCGCCTATTCGAACTGTCAAAAAGCCATGAACGCCAAGAATGGCACCTGAATCCTGGATACTGAGGATGCGATTGGGCCCAGAGACTAGACTGGGGTCAACGCCACCACGTGTGTCTGGCCTTCCACCGGCTGCGCCCCCGGTTACTTAAGTGACCGGCCTAATCAGGACGACACACGCCATGGGTTCACTCATATCGCCCTGTATGTTCTGTATGCTGGGTTTGAAAGCTATGAAGGACCCATCTTCAGTGGGATGCCGGACATCTAGAACGCCTGTTCATCGTCTTGCCCCAGGTTGCCACAAACCGTGATGTCTCGGGCAGATTCGTGATGAATAGCTCCGATAAAGGTGGATGAAACGTGTATATCACGCTTGCTGCCCGTCTCATGACGACACCATCACATTTCAAGTACAGTAGGCTAAGATGCTGCTCACTTACACTGGCGGCCTCATGGGTAGCCAAGCACTGTCATGATCATCTATTGTGCAAGGCCACCATCCTGACATGGCTTTGACGTCGAGTATTTGGGGGTTGGGGGGTATTCGGTTCTGATTGCCATCATGGACGTGTTGTTGCTTCTAAGACTCAAAGACAGGAGTCGGACTTCTGCCGATGCTGGTAAGGGGTTGGTGGCTCCCGTCAAGTCTGAAAGTCATCTATTACTTCAGCAAACTCTGAGGTGTCTAATGCAGAGAACCACCTGTTCGCTGGCCACCAAAACTTCTTGTAGACTGCCCTGTCCAGCGGTGTCAGTCAGAGGGATGAGAAAACCAGGCCGGGTTACCAGCCAGCCTCGGAGGTGACGTGTTTCTAAATAGCTGGGTCATCATTTCTGGTCCTCGACCGACTGCTGGTCAATGGTGCCCCAGACGGTCTCGTTAGATCTCTCTTTAGGACTGAATTGTTCGAATGTGTGAGGCCAAAGCTCGCGAAATACTACTCAACTCACAAATCAGATCCAACAACACATCGTTGACATTGTATAACGCGACAACACACAATGCGCTGGTCCGAGCTGAGACTTTTCAAGCAAGACGAAGAAAAATTTGAGCTGGAACAGCAAGAATGAAGTCGGGCACGGTCTCCAGCAGGGGCTGGATTTCAATGAAGGCTTTCTTTTTCCTGGATCCATCGGCATGGATACGAAGCTGCGCAAGTCAGCCAGAGATCTGTGTCCCCGGGGCATGGGTCCTGGACAGGATGACAGTTAGGCGGGCGATCAGTTGTGGCTTTGCTTTTTTGGACTGTTACGGTGTGAACTTTATCCCAAACCGGGGAAAGAGAAAACCTGTCCAGGTCCGCAGCCCGCCTCAGATGTTTCTTTTGGAAAGCCGGTATGCTACAGCGCGGAATGAGTGTGGTGACAGGTAGACGAAGATCTGAGTGAATGCACACGAGCAGCAGAGCCATCGAGTGGGTATGACAGGCCTGGCGTTTCCTCTTTGGCTTCTCCGTAGTTGTCGCGGGTTCCAGATTTTCAACCTGTCGATGAATTTTGTTTTGTTCGCTCGGCATTAGAGCAGCTGTTTCTTTGGATAGGTACACATAAAAGTGCTGGCGAATGGTTGCCGAGGTATGGTAATGCGAACTGCAGAGTAGCCGTGTATTCGGGAGAAACAGGATCATGCAGAACCAACCCGAGGTCTTTACCTCACAGAAATACGACAATGTCCGGGTTCTGGCGACTGTGCATGAGAAGCAAGACGTGTCTCCTCATCACGGAGTCTGACAACAACGATGCTGCGGATATCTGAAGCCTGACTGTGATGTTGATCGATTCCACGACTATGGCCAGGTCTCAAGGCGATCACTCAGACGAGTCACCCAGTGTCTCGATGGAAGACATGGACTAGCCAAACCTGACCATGCGCTCCCCGATGAGGTAGCTGTCGTTGACATGAGCAACAAGACTTCCGATTGGATTATTGGAACCGTAGCTTGGCGTCCAGGGTGAAGGGGAAATGGACCGGACCGACTGGTCACGAAAAGTGTTGAGGGGCGCTGGTTGTTGGAGGACAGTCTCAGCCCACGGCGACCGGCCGCTCAGGTCACCCAGTGAGAAAGTGAGGTTGAGTGCGGGGCGGGTGCAGGCCCCGGGCCAGATCGGAGCCGCTGGAAGCCCCACCGAAACTGCTGATTCTGGTGCTGCAGGCGCTGCGAGGTGCCGTGACAGCGTGCCACTGCCCCTCCGGTGTCCTGCACCTGCGAAAAAGCCCCCGCCCCTCCTTGCCCCTCCATCAAGCCCACCTCGCGCTGGAGCTGAGGTCTTTTTACTGTTACGACAAGCTACTCTGCCAAAACCTGTCCTGCGTCATTTACACCTCCAACCGTGATCCGATCTTTCTGAACTGTCCTTCAGACTCCCGAAGCTTCACCATTCTCCCTAGAATCATCAGATACCACCAATTGCCCAACATGGCTCGCAAGTTCTTCGTCGGCGGCAACTTCAAGATGTAAGTCTCTTCGTTGGCGGGGTTCATCGGACATCCTGCAGCAACCCCCCATCCCAAGGGGGAGACGGCACATGGAGGGAGGGGGGATGGAAGCTCCGGTATCAGCCAGCACCGCAACATGGGCTAACACGTCATGCTTCGCGCTCGACAGGAACGGCTCTGTGTCGTCCATCAAGAAGATTGTCGAGAACCTGAACGGCGCCACCCTCGACCCCAACACTGGTACTTGCCCACTTGCTCCAATGCAGAGCACAGAAGAAGACATTGCAGCTAACAATAAGCCCGCAGAGGTCGTCGTCTCCCCTCCCGCCATCTACCTCTCGCTCACCCGTGAGCTCCTCCGCAAGGACATTGAGGTCGCCGCCCAGAACGTCTTCGACAAGCCCGACGGCGCCTTCACTGGCGAGATCTCCGTTGCCCAGCTGAAGGATAGCAACATCAACTGGGCCATCCTTGGCCACTCTGAGCGCCGTACCATCCTGAAGGAGTCTGACGAGGTTGTTGCCTCCAAGACCAAGTACGCCACCGAGAACGGCGTTGGTGCCATCTGGTGCTGTGGTGAGTCCCTCGAGGAGCGCGAGGCTGGCACCACCGTCGACGTCGTCAGCAAGCAGCTTGCTGCCCTCAGCGCCGCCATCAAGGACTGGTCCAAGGTTGTCGTCGCCTACGAGCCCATCTGGGCCATTGGCACCGGCAAGGTTGCCACCACCGAGCAGGCCCAGGAGGTTCACGCCGCCATCCGCGCTTGGCTCGCCAAGAACGTCAGCGACAAGGTCGCCGAGGAGACCCGCATCCTGTACGGTGGCAGTGTCAACGAGAAGAACTGCAAGGACCTGGCCAAGGAGAAGGACATTGACGGTTTCCTGGTTGGCGGTGCCAGCTTGAAGCCTGGCTGTGAGTACTCCCTTCGCCAATGAAACCGACTCCCAGTACTGACAGGATACAGTCGTCGACATTGTCAACGCCAAGCAGTAAATCCCTAAATAGAACATACCTGATGATGATGAACGCTTGAACATGGCCGCATAATGGCTTGGGTAGCTCAGGATAAGAAGTAACGAAATAACCACACCTTTCGTAGTCCCTGAGGTAGTAGAGAAGAAAACAAAATTCAGTATACCCACACACGCGTCTGTAGTCATGCCTCATCTGTGAGCGTTGAGAAATCTGCATTTCGAGTGCTTTCAGGGGGCACTCGTTCCCCATCCCGTTCGGGTGATATTTTACAAGCAACAAACATGTCATGCTGCCTTTTCCTCCTATGCACGCCTGGCCCCGATCATAGTTTTACATGCTTTCCAAAGAGATGTCGTAAATGTTTTCGTAGGTATTTATACAGCCATGCCGTTGCCATGGTACGGTGACCATATACCTCTAACACTGGCGTTGATACTGGTGACGGGCTTGCTCGTCCTCTTGAGCTTCTCTCCGCTGGCGTCACGCAGCAGTTCGGCCTTCTTCAAGATCTCCAAGGGCTCCATGTTTCGCACACAAACGGCCTTCTCGCGGCCGTTGATGTAGTGGCCGACAATCATAGGGTGCTTCGCGGGACGGGGCGACACGGTGAACTCGATCTGGGGGTGGGCCTTGGCGAATTTGGGTAGCTGAGACTTGATAAATCCGCTGGAAGAGAATATCAGTATGCATATAAGACGTCCAGAGCCCAGAGATTGCCTACTTCATGCCCTTGGAGCTACCAGCCCAGTCGCAGTAGTGGAAGTCCAACTTCTTGCATTGGAGGATGAATGAGCCAAGGCCATTCTGCCGAGTTGTCAGTCATTCCAGCAGATCGCTAACAGGCGGAAAGTCCATACCTGGCCCTTGGACACCGTCTTCAATGCCTGGATCGTCATGGTATCCTGTCTGGCATACAGAATCCAATTGCGTGGTCGAGTCGTCGCAAAGAACCTCGTCCGTCTGCCACGGGCGGGAAATTTCTTAGCGCAAAAACGCAGATGATCCGAGCCAGACAGCTGGACCGGAGCTGCAGTACGTACCGCATCTTCCGGACCCACCTTGTATTGTATGAACAGCTACCATTGGCTGGCACAACTGGGGTGGGTGGTCTGGACAGAGCCAGGCTGCACCACAAACTTTCCCTTGCCATGCGTTCTCGTGTCAATTTCAAGAACGGACGCGACGCTCATCCTTCAACCCCATTCCCACCACGTCCCATTACGACATCCCTAGCTGCACGCCATCGCGCGCATCTCAGTGGAGCTAGAGGATATCTTTGATCTTGGGATACTGACGAAAAGGGTCTTTTGCGATGACCGACAAGCTCCCTCCCAACCTCTTGGCGCTGTTCGCGCCGCGCCCGCCCCTGCGATGGGTGCCGCCTCCCGACCATGCGCCCGAAAAGCGCAAGACCTTGCCCGTCTCTGGTGTCGCCGAGTTCCTGCCCGCACTTCAAGCCTACAAGGAGACCGACGAATACAAACCGACAGAGAGCTGGTTGCAGATGCGCGACCGCAAGAAGCTTGAGAAGCAAGCTGCAGTCGAGAAGCTCAAGACGGAAGGGCCGAAGAATTGTCAGTACTCTACACATTGCTTTTGTAGGAGAAATATGCTAACGTTACTATTGTACAGTCAAACCCCACGAGGACTCCAACATTCGCGGCGATGCTTTCAAGACTTTGATTGTTGCCCGACTCTCTTACGAGGCCAACGAGCAGGATCTCGAGAGGGAGTTTGGCCGTTTCGGCCCCATTGAGCGCGTACGTTCTCCTGTTCCCCATCATACATGGCCTTATCAAGCTGACAATCAGATAGATCCGTATCATCACTGACACTCATGCTCATGAGAAACCCAGAAAGAAGAAGAAGCCCCATCGTGGCTACGCTTTCGTTGTTTTTGAACGAGAGAAAGATATGAGAGGTAATGACGCCGAACCCCCTTGATGATGCTCGGCCTATCCGACATTCATCTCCCTCCCGGCTTGTGGCCCTCAGGCTTGCCCTTGCCCAGCTTTACACACCGAGATCCGTGGTCCTCAAGCTTGCCCGTCTCACAATCTTGTTTTTATTTCTTCTCATTCCACTCCACGACGCAAAGGTATGATATTGGTAAGGGTTTACTGACACAAGCGCCTTGGCGCACTGGTGAGTAGCTGCTTTAGATGCCTGCGATGGTATTCGAATCAAGGACCGGCGTATCAAGGTAGATGTCGAACGTGGGCGCACCGTCAAGGGCTGGGTACCTCGCCGACTCGGTGGCGGCCTCGGAGGCCGAGGATACACCAAAGCCCTGCCGGCTAGGCCCATGGGCGGACCTGGTGGTGGTTTCGGCGGTGGCGGCGGTTTCCGAGGAGGCTTCCGTGGCGGCTTCGAGGGAGGACGCGGTCGCGGCGGAGGCTTTAGAGGAGGCTTTGGCGGCCGTGGAGGATTCCGTGGCGGTGGCGACTTCAACCGTGGTGGTGACCGAGGTGGTCCTAACGGATACGGCGCTCCTAGGGATGCTCCTTCAGGGCCCGGACGCAGCTTCGGAGGAGGCGACCGCGGCTTTTCCGGCGGTGGGTATGACCGTGGAAGCGGCCGCTCACATGACGACAGATCAGGTGGCCGCCATGGCGATCGTTACGGAGATCGCGACAGAGACCGCGGCGACCGTGACGGAGGCCGCAGGACAGGAAGCAACATGGAACCGATCAGACCCAGAGGAGAAGGTGGGTATCGTGGTGACCGAGGCGACAGGGACCGCGACCGAGACCGGGACCGTGACAGCCACAGGGACAGAGACTATGACCGACCCCGCGATGACGACAACAGGAAACGAGGCTACGACGGCGGCGGCTATGAGGATCCTAGAAAGCTACGTCGCTACTGACGAGACACGTCGTGTCTTGCGGTGGGTGACTACCCGCGCGTCTGATCTTTTCAGTCTCTTTCCTTCTTCCCTTTCTTCATCGAGGGTAAGCAGGTGTCAAGCACAAACAAGTCTTCTCCATCTCCGGGTCAAAAAGGTCGCAACCAGGCGCATACAGTGCGGCCGTGTTCAGGCGCTTCAGTTTCATCCTACAGGCTACCGAGACATTCGTTCGCATCAAATTTGCTGCAGCATGCCGTCGAAGGTAATCATCTCTGCGTGTACTCTACTACCAGCCGCTTCGAGCTCGAGTTAGCAAAATTACTCCGAAAACGATTGGTCGACGCTGCAGGTAAGGTCAGAGATAAGGGACTCCGTGCCTACTGACCTGGAGATTAGCATGGAAGACATCAAATGGTTCATAAAAAAAGGATAGGTGTAGTTCCCGCATGTACCGCGTTATAATTACTTGTACGAATAGGTGAGGACCTCTCGTTTTCCAAGACAGACAGATCGTACGTAGCATTCTTCTGGCTCGTTTTGAGTACGTTCTATCCTCATAGAAAGAAAAGCGTACGAGAAAGTACTTCCTCAACCAAGAGGACATGTGAAAATGTGTGAAAGATGCCCGACGCATGACCGAAAAAAATTGTAATCTCTAATGAACCGCCCGAACGCCGCAGTGTTGTTTTTGTTGTCCACCCCTCGCAATCCATGATGGTATCAGCCTACATGAAGAAGCAATCATCAAGTCTAGAAGCTTTTTATACGTTTTGGTCATCCATTCCCCACCCTGGCCTTCCAGCCGTCAAAGGCGCTTTAATCGCTGTCGGCCTCCATGGCGTTGGGGTTGACTTCTGTCACCTCGCCTGACGCCGCGCTCCAGTACCTGTTCGCGAAGTTAGCACAAACGAATACTCTTCCAGAAAAGAATAGTTGAGTTGAAAGGGACAAGACGTACGCCATGACCTGGACCTTGAACTCGCTCAGACAGATGCTGAACAGCTTCAACAGCCTCGTCTGCCTGCTGTCCAGCGTGTCGCCCTCCTTGCACACGGTGTAGCCCTCGCCAGAGGAGCCGTCGGCGTCGCCGAGGCAGACGCGGCCCTTGATCATGCGGGTGGGCATGCCGAGGCGGCGCAGCTCGGGCTCGATGCTGTGCTCCATGGGCACGTCGTGCTCGGCGGGGACCTCGCCGCCGGTGGCGTAGACGACGCCCGGGGGAATGACGAAGTCGCGGGTGGCGACGGTGCCGGCGCGGGCAAAGTCGACGGGGGAGACGCCCTCAAAGTACTCGAGGACGGCCTTGGGGTCGCGGTTGGTGAAGAGGAGGCCGACGGTGCCGGAGAGGAAGGGGGTGAGGCGGTCGATGCCATCGGCGACGGCGGAGGAGGGGTCTTGGCCGAGGGCCTTGGCCATGAGTTTTGTCTTGCCGAAGAAGAGTCTGGTTGTCTGGGGTCAGTCTGGAGGTTCCAATTGTACGAGGAATTGTCCCTGCTATGCGAGACGGGCGCAGCGCATTGGGTATCTGAGGAGAGAGGTAGGGAAAGGCGACGAACCTGCAGTCGGTAAGCTCGTGGCGGACCTGCTTGAGGTAGTTGTTGCGCATGTTGTCGACGGCGAAGACGAAGCAGTGCTGGTACTCGGGGACGGTCTCGCGGATGTTGGCGAAGAGCTTGTCCTTTTGCTCGCGCGTCTTCTTGCTGACCTGGGTCAGGTTCACGATTCTGTTGCGCTTCGACTTAGGCATCTTGCCGGTTGTTTCTGTCCGGATTGATTTAAAAAAGTCGGCTGGGCTGGATTATGTCCGGCGATTCGAAGATACAAATCGGTTGCGTAGGTGTGAACCTCGAAAGGGAAACGGGTCGGGGCTGGGAACAAGAAGTACCTGACGACCTTTTTTTCTCGAGATTCCGACTGGGAAAGATTTCGCGCCGACCGCCTTTGGCACAAATTTCCAGAAATTTTGGCTAGGCGCAGAGGGACCACCGCAACTTTTTTTTGGAACCCCGCAATGCGCTAGGTCCAATGATTTTTCCGCAGGGACCGGCATGGGGTCTGTGGGTCTTCACCGAACGCTCACCGAGTCCCGGCCGTCGCATTGTGGGTCGGTTGATATGGAAGACGACGACTTTTAAGAAAAAGAGAAAGGAAAAGTCTCAAGAGGGACTCGAGCCCATGGGCTCTAGCGCTGGATAAGCATGATCTCTGTGTTTCAGGTGGTATAACTGCTGTACCATTACTGGGCATATTCACGGCCATTTATTCCAGGCGCTGTTGCTCAGGCTCGATACTAACACCCTTTAATACCAATTCATCGCCGCCGTATCTGCCTCACTTCCCACAATGTGAGAAGACTGCCATACCTTTATCTTGCCAAGGAGTAGCCCAGTAAATTATCGACTAACGCCTCGTGAAAGTCACTCATATCGTGATATTCATATACAGTGGCTCTAAAAGCCATGTAATCTACGTGTCTTCCTCCGACGTGCCCGCGCCTTGAGTGTCTACGTCTAGTATACAACAGGCCTTTCCATCACGCTGTCTACGCCAGGTACGTATAAGTGTTACCCTCGCGCTCCAGGTAGTCTTTGTCGATAAGGCTACACGAAAGTTAGCAAGCATAAAAGGCACGGAAGAAGGATCCCACTCACTTCTCAATCTCCTTCTTGATCTGCGCCGCGTCAACGGCACCGCGGTTCTTGGTCATGTTGATGACTTCGGCTACCAACTCACCATGGCTCATCGCCTTCCGGCTCTTCATAATTCTGACGATGGCAGCCTGAGTCTCAAACCGTCTGTCTTGTGCAATACGCTCGTGCGTCGCCTTGTTCTCTTCCTTGGTCTCCTTGAGCTGGATCTGGTTGATCTTGACTCGGATCTTGGGGTGTGAAAATGCCTTGTTGATGGTGAAGGTGTCGGTCGGGTTGATGTCCTTGCCCTTGGGATGTTTGGCTAGCACGCGGACCTGGCCACAGGCAAGAGATTGTAGTGTTCGCGCTAGCTCGTCCCCTTGAAGGTTTGTGGAGCGCGCGATTTGCTCATATGCGAGAAAGCCATCCAGTCCAACCTCATTGAACAGAACAAGAACAATGGCTTGGTATGCACTGACGAGCAACTCTTTGGTACCCTTAGGGAACTTCGCCTTGACGCTGCAGTGCGCCAATGCATGCTTCCAGTGGAGAAGCCTGCCAGTATGCTTGTTCTTGTAGTATTGATCGAAACGCTCGATCTGCTTGGCAACATCGTCTGGCAGATTAACCCTTACGTCGGGGTACGTTGGCCAAGCAGCCGCGGACAGAATCATGACGGACAGGTCTATTGGAGCCTTGCCCGCGCCAGTGCCTTCTGACCACTGCTTGTACGTCTCCATTTCCTCCTTGGCCACCTCGACATCCTTGAACATTTGCTCCAGATTATGTGTGAAGTTGGTACCGCACTCTTCCCTCAGTTTCCTGAGCATGTTTCTCTCGGCATCCTGACTGGCACTCCTACCCATGAGCAGGCGACGGGCCAGATCCTTCTTGTAGAACGCTTCGAAGGCATCTTTGCCTTCAATAAATCGAAACAGCTCTAAGGCCTGGTCCAGTTGTCGATCAAGCTCCGCATCTTCGTCTCCAGTGCTGGCTTGGCCACTCTGTTCTGCCGCAGCGCGGTCCTTGTTATCTGACAACAACGCCTTGGGCAGTGCCTTCAGACCGCCACGAAGCAGCATGTCGATATACTTCGCAATCATTTCTCCAACCTTGGACGTTCCTGATGTCCACGTCTTTTCGATTGTGCGGTCGTTCATGAATTCGCCAAAGGCATTCTTGAGCTCATTCAGGAAGTCTGAGTCGCCTCCATAGGAATCCCGAATGATCAGGCTGAGCGACCTCTTCAGCTCAAGTAACCTCCGTACCATCTCGTCGCCATGTTCCTTGTCGGCCACAATGGCTGCTCCGGTCTTCTTGATATACGCGCTCCATGGGGCCCTCAGCTTCTTCTGAATACCCGATAGTCTCAACAGCTCATAGAGCGCCTTCATAGACTCGACCTCGTTTTCAGCCAATAATTTCGAGAGACTCTCGTTGTTCAATAGCTTATCGGAGTAGTTGTTGACTAGAATACCGTGAGCGGCATCGAGTAGTTGTTTCTTTGTGGTGGAATCGAGATTGTACTCATTGCATCTGTAGTCTTCCCTCTTAAGGAGTCTTTCACATGCAAGGATGTACTCTTTCAGACTCGATGAGCTTCGTTCCTCCGCAAAGTCTTGGAAATATTCGGCTGAGCTGTCTATGAAGCGGGGTTCGAATAGCTTCGTGTAGATATTGAAGACGTGGAGCATCATGACGGATTCTTTCAGTAGGGTAGCGTCAAACCGTTCGTCACCAGTCCGGTCGTAAGAAATCAAGTCGTACATGCCCCGTAGCGCCCGCCCACCTGGTGATGGGCCGTCGGCATCTTCTCGCGACGGGAACGTCATCCTTCTAAACTGAGTAATTGTCATGTCGTTAATTGAAGTGAGGTTCTTGTTTTTCAGCACGAATGTGCGGTCAAGCCAGCTGAATGTAGATCGTATCGTCATCTAGAGGCAGCCGTTGTTAGTGTTGAGTCAAGTAACCTGAGGCGGGCTAACTCACAATTTGGCCGTTCCACACTCGCCAATGCTTGAGAACGCTCCGCAGCATTTCAACGTTCGTGTTTCCACCATGAGCCTTGATAGATCGCAGCACAGTGCCGGTGAGATGCTCCTCGCATTTCCTGCGTAGTGTTTCGTAGAGCTGCAAATCATTGCTGTTCCCGCGCCTACAGATGTCCTCGACTGCTCGATACAGCCTCTCCAAAGGCAACTGCGGCTTGCGCCCGTTGAAAATGTCTTGCAGAGCATCGAGTAGTTCCTGCTCTGTCCTTTTATAGTATTGCTCCAACTGCTCGTTCTTTGCCGTCGGCCTCAGGTTCTTGATGACCAGCTTCTTCGCGCCCGTGTACGGCTTGTACGAGTTGGATTGGGTGAGGTCAATGACCTCGGGGAGCTTGCCCTTCATCTTGGTCGACATGTTGGAGTTGGGAGGATCTTCGGCACCAAACTTGAAGCGCTTCGGGCTGGGCCTGTTTGACGACAGCTGCTGATGCGGGGCGACAGAGCCAGAGCGCGAAACGTCCGAGTCCACGCGGGGTCGTCGGCGCTGTGGGCTATTCGTATCCGCGATTGAACCCGATCCGCCTGTCCTTCCCGTCGCCCGTGATGGCAAAGCTCCCTCGACTGCTGGGGGTGAATTCGACGGCATGGACCGTATGGTCCTGCAACAACTTCTGTCTAAGCTGTTGCAGACCTAGTTGCTTTTTGAGGATCGAGGATGTTCGGGTAGAGAGGGTGACCGAGTGTCCGGAATGTCTTGTCTTGCTGTTGTCGGGCTTGCGAAAGCGTACGTCGTCGTGTGGTGGCGGTTTTATCGGTTCTGGTGTGGTTGGGAAGTGCGAGTATAGACGTCGTGGTCGTTGTCGCGGGAATCTAGACGCGGAGTTAAACGCGGAGCTAGGTATGCGTCCTAGCTACCATTATCAAATCACCATGCCGTCGTTCGCATCATCCATTTAAGAGACTCGGGTACGTCTCTTATCGCGCTGACCGGGGATTAGATAAGAGTAGGCCCAGTTGCTCCACACCTACCCGGACCGTTTAATTTGATGTCACTGTTAAATGCATCACCTCGCTTCGTCGAAAACTTCTTCTTCTCAATCTTCACCCAGCTCATTCCATGAAATGACAGTACAGTCAAACCTAAGACCGACTTAAGTCTCTTGGTTAAATATTGTTGACTAGGGTTCACATTTCAATCTGGCATCTCATCCACATCTTGGAGGGTCCTAGTACGCCTTTCCGCCGACAAGGAAGAGAGACGAGGAAGGGCGAGGTAGATGGTGGAAATTTCGGAAGACAGTGACGATGGACACATGTAATACCAATAACGAAGATTTATTTGCAAATTTCATAAGAGTGCTGTTAAACTAAGTCGTTTTTAACGGCTTGGCCTAAGTATAATGCTTTAAGGTTATTTACATCTGTTATTCAGATAATAACCCGGTTTGCAATGACTACTACGTTTATGGGTAATGGGTAATGGGTAATGGGTAATGGGTAATGGGTAATGGGTAATGGGTAATGGGTAATGGGTAATGGGTAATGGGTAATGGGTAATGGGTATGGATACCCATGGGGTCGTTAGGTTCATGAAGCCGTGCATGTTTTCTTCTCTATTGCCGTTCTCGAAGGCTTTAACAGCTTGCCGCTGACTAGTGAGGTGGATGAGAAATATTGAGGGATGACATAGAAAGACGAGGGACGACATAGAAAGACGAGGGACGACGATGTATATGGTGGACTACAAGGAGATAGGGACGATGCACACACATGGGACGATACAAAAGCAAGTTAGGTATATTCTAAGCGTATGCGACCTACTACGAGCATTGGACAGCCAGATCATTGATGCTCGTGGCTTGTTAGGGTCATGGGATCGTTGACGGATTATGTATACACAGGAGACTGTGTTATGCCATTCTAAAGGTGTCGTTCAACAGCTCATCGTCCAATTCTGCGTCACCATCCCTCGTCCTGCTCACCACCCTGCAGCTTCGCTACTCTGACGAGACTGATTGACCACGAATACAACGGATCGTACCGCAGGACGTGTTCATTGGCTTCTTCCGCAAGACCTCCAATCGGCCTCGCCTGGCTCATAATCTGCTTGATCACACATGCCACATACGCAAGCAGGGGATACTTATCATGCTATTCTAAGGGTATCATTCAACCGGCTCATTGCCCCATTCTACCTCGCCCCCCCCTTCGTCCCCCTTCGTCCCCCTTCGTCCCCCTTCGTCCCCCTTCATCGTCTACCCCCATCGCCCCCCCGCGTCGTCCGTCGCCGTCACCGCAGTTGTCGTCCTCTATCTTCTTACGCATATGCCGTCCAGCCTGGGTATACGACGGCGAGGTCACTTATATCCGCTGCCTGAGGTCATTGACGGTCGCCGTGACGCTTAAGCTTCTTTCGCACGACCTTTGAGGCCCGATGTGCTTCGCCTGGCTCATTCACATGATTGCTCACATGGCACGGTGCGCACGCAAGTAGGGTATATTTCTGAGGGTATCTATCATCCATGCCTTCTTCCTCGAGCTAAGCATATGCAGCCCAGCCCGAGTACAGGACGGCAAGGTTACTTATATCGGTTGCCTGGTTTATGAGGTCGTTGACGGTTGCCGTGACGCTTAGCGTCTTCGACAGTTTCTTCCGCACGACCTCCAAGGCACGATGGGCCTCTCCCGGCTCATTCACCTGCTTCTTCCCAGCGACATCGTCGTCAGCATCATCTTGCCCACCACCCTGTAACTTCGCCAATCTGACGGGACTAATTGACCACGAATACAAGGGGTCGTAACGCAAAACGTCGAGAATCGTCATGATGGAGTAGGTCTCCTCTCGCATGGCGTGTAGCGTAAACTCGCAGCAGCGACGGAAAACGCCCTCCGTCCCGGTTATTCCCATGCCATCCACAATGTCCCGAGTCAAACGGAACGGTACCAGCTCAGGCACAGGAAGCACTCGTCCCATTTCGAATGCTACACCCAGATCAATGTGGACGACCTCTCCGGTCTTGTGGTCCAACAAGATGTTGTGGCCATGCCTATCTCCCAAACCAAGGACATGTCCAAGCATCGAGATTGCTGCTGTCGTGCGGGTATATGCCAAGCGCCTGACAAACCATTCGTCGGGATCTTCGAAATTTTCCATGAAGAAATACTTCATAACGGGATGGAATCGCTCCGTTACCTTTCGGTAAGTGTTGATGCGCATGTCGGTGGACTTTCCCTGTGCATTGGAGATCTCCTTCCTGCACTGAGAACCCTTGAGATCTTTGGGAAAGTATCTCTCGTGGGCTGGCATCAAGAACTCGTGTAGTGGAATAGTATTTGGGACGAATTCGATCAACCCAGAGGCTGACGTCAGGGGCAAAACCTTGTACGTTCTGATGCCGAGATTCCTCTGCCGTGTCGATCGATGCAGCTTCAGAAGGGAAGAAACGGCAGCAAAGACCTGTTCCATGATGGCGTCCTGGCGTAAGTCATCGTTGCCACCTTTGACCAGCTGTCTGTATTTTTGTCCGTCGGTTCCGATAGCTGTGATGATCTTCGGTGCACTGACGCCAGACGCAATTGACATCTGGGGATCTAGGCTTGCAATAGTGGGAACATTCGAGTAGTCCTTGTCCGCTGCTACTTCGAGTTGCATAGTCGGCGGAGGGATATGGTACTTGATGAGCGCATTGACGAGCGACTGAGCTGAGTGGATTTCCTTAAGGGCAATTTTATGTCCAGCCTTGAACTTAGAATTGTCCCTGTCGACGGCCAAGCGGTGATAGTAAGAGCTTGTCCTATCAATTGCTTGCCATATCGCGGCGACGGCTTGGTTGGACTGCAAGAGTCCAGCAAGCTTCTCGGCAGCCCTGATCCTCAGCTGAGCAACATGGTCCTCCTTACGGGGCTTAACTTTCGATCCGGACCAAATTTGATACATGCCGTGGTAAGGATGGTCGACGCAGATATTGTAGACGAGCGTGGTCAGGAGTTTTTGGAACGGATTTGACTCGTTCTGCAGTCTGGATGACAGCTGATTCATCAGCGTTGCAAACTTCCTTGTTGGAACCTTGCCGAGATGTTTCTGTACTGCTTCGTTGGTGGCGTCTTCATCCGATCGCTCAAGCCAAAGTGCGGTGAATCGTAAGGCATCGTTGTTATACTCGTCCGATGCGATGAGAGACAACAGATAGTTTTCCAGACTGAGCCGCACAAACTCGCTTCTCGTTGTCTCAACGCGACGAAGCTCTTGTTCGTCCAGACTAAGCCATTGCTTGGCGCGGTTCAGATGAGACTGATACCTGGTCTTCAGCTGAGAGTCGCGGGTGCTTGCAATTAGACTTTGTAGTTGAGCAACTTCATCGCTCTTGCCTTGTCGCAGACTTTGAAGTCTTGCCAGATCCTCGAGGCCATCTTGGTTTTGTAGCTGCTCGTCACAGAACATGGCGAATTGATGGTACACACGTCCTGCCTGTTGACCCTCGCTTTTCCCCTTCAGCTCTTTGAGCGCCGGCTCGAGATAATTCTTCTGAATATGATGCGGTTTTTCTAGCCTTGCTACTGAGACTTGGTGGCCGATCTTCGACAACAAATCCGAGCGACTAACAGGAATTGTCTGCTTTTTGAGGGAAGAATCGTTGTCAATGCCTTGAAGCATTCGAATGGAGTGAATCATCTCTCCATGATCCCACAGCGAATTGGCGGCTTCAATTTTGACAGCAGCATCGACTTTCAAGCCCAGGTCTTCGCAGGGTACGATCAGACTAGTAAGCGAGGTTGACACATTGAGTGACTCCTGCGTAGCTTGATGGAATCGGTAAATACCAGAAGACATCAGTTTAGAACGAATCTCAATCTGTCTTGCTTCGGCGGTAGAGAGGCTCGTATTGCGAAGTTTGGGCTGTTGGCTCATCAAACTCAAAGTTGTTTCTCGACAGGAAAGCATATGGCTGACGTCTTCGTATCTGTGAAGGATCATTAGCTAGGCTGGTTGGTTTGAGGGCTTAACACCCATTGATATTGAACTGCACGTACCGTCCGCGTCTCATCCATTGTCCGCGCTGCTCAAATTTCTCAAGCATGCCCTCCAGCTCCGAGAAATCGGAAACATTAACAACGTCATCCAGCTCTGTCAATGCCGCAAGAGCACCAAGGTGCTGCCTTAGCTTAGCCGCATTCAGTCCCCCGTTGACAAGATTGCGCATTGTATGGCTGAAGCCGTTATATATGGAACTTCGGACTGAAAGTGTATCGGCAGCTTGTTGGATGTTTTGGTAGGCCTTGTAGATTGTCACCGAGCAGTTATCAACCGAAGCCGGCGCTGGCAGATTCCATCGTTCCAGTCTGCGAGCGGTTTGAAACGTACTCGCGAGGGAGTCCTCGTCAGCATCATGATTCTCTTGGGCTTGTTGCATAGAA